TTAGATTTCCCTGTCTTTTGTTTGAACTTGAACATCATTCTGGCACTTAGATTTCCAAGCCATTACATTGTTAGCTGCTTTAGCAAGGTATCATTTTCTTGATTTTGTTTTTGGAATATGTATTGTGGTGTACTCCATAATCTTTTAGTCAAAATTTTCAGTTGAGTACATGAGTTGCATGTTCCATTGCGACTCTCAAACTTGTTTCTTTATCAAGTATGTTTTAGTCAAAGTTTAAATCAATCCAACAATAGATCTTCTTTGTTCAACAGGTATTGACCGGAGGAACACTACTCTCCAGGAATAAGGATTATATTGTCTTTTACAGGGGTAATGATTTCTTGCCACCTCGTGTCACAGAAGCGCTTGAAGAAGCAGAGAGAAAAAGTGATTTCTTGCAGGATCAAGAAGAACAAGCACGGCAAAGAGCAGTAACCTCTATTGATTCTGATACTAGAGCTCCTAAAAGACCATTGGTTGCTGGAACACTTTCTGAAACTATGGCAGCCACTTCACGCTGGGGAAACCAACCTAGTATTGAAGAGAGGGAGAAAATGATGAGAGATGCAGCTGTAGCAAGGCATGCTTCTCTGGTGAAGTATCTTGAAGAGAAGCTAGCCCTTGTAAGTTTTTGTAAATAAAACTGAGAAAAAAGTTGTGCAAATGGATCTTTCTCCCTATTTGTTATGTATAATATTAGACTGGTATCTGCAGGCAAAAGGCAAGGTCAAAAAGGCAGAAAATATGTTACGTAAATTGCAGGAAAATCGGGAACCATCTGAGCTGCCTACTGATTTGGAAATATTATCTGCTGAGGAAAGGTTTCTTTTCCGCAAAATGGGTCTTAGCATGAAACCTTTTCTTCTTCTAGGTAAGCGGTGCTACTTGTTCAATCTGATAGTTCCTATCAGGATAGAGCTCATTAGTCATAACTTCTACATTTCGGTTCAGGGAGGCGAGATGTTTTTGATGGAACTATAGAGAATATACATTTACATTGGAAATATCGGGAGCTTGTAAAGATCATTGCGGAGAGGAGGAATACAGCACAAATAAAACACATTGCAATTACTCTTGAGGCTGAAAGTGGTGGCCTTTTGGTATCTATAGATAAGACTACCCAAGGTTATGCAATTATACTCTATCGTGGGAAAAATTACCAGCGTCCTAATGAATTCAGGCCCAAAAATCTTCTGACTAAGAGACAAGCATTGGCCCGTTCAATTGAACTTCAAAGACGTGAGGTAATATATTCTTATATCATTTTTCTTTCACAGATAGATGTGTTTCTATGTCTCTGATATCTTGAGATTATTCACCTCATGGATGTCTGCTAAAAATTCTTCCAGGCACTTAAGCATCACATAACAGCGTTGCAGGATAAGATTCAAAACTTGAAGTCTGAGCTAGTATGAAATTCCTGTTCTTTTGGAAATAAATTTTTGAAACCATTAAACTTGCAAATCACCTCTTGCTTTCATTTTTATTTTGTCCTTCTGAAAAATCTGCAGGAAGATACGAACATGGTTGAGGAGATTGATGAGGAGACCTTATTCTCGAGATTAGATGCATCTGATGATGAGGATGATATGGAAAAGGTAATAAGAGGGTCTAAAGTACTCTTTTGAAAGTAGAGTAGGGAATGACAAAGCAAAAAGACAGTAACACTGTAAGAGGTAAGAGGAGGCTCAACAGAGGGACACCTGTTAGCACCCTTTTAGTCTACCAATGGTTTACAAATGGAAGATTTAAGGAAATTAGAAAGTAGATTACTTCAGCTTATAAGTTATTTATTTTTTATATCTGTATAGCAGTGTTTGCAGTAGATTATTACAGCTCTTTAGTTATTTATTTTTCCTATTTCTATGAAGCAGTTGTTGCAGTAAGGAGGTTATTCCTCCTCTTTTCTAATTTCAATTGTAGTAGGAAGTTACTTCCTTGTTTTTAGATGGGTGGTTAATCCACTAGAGTTGTATTTTGTGTTATTTGCATTCAGTGAAATGATAGGCAGAAAATTAGTCAAGTTTTTGAGTACTTCAAACTCAAGAGATTGCAGGTTCTCTCTTAACGAACCAACACCATAGGTAGAAAAGAGAAAACTTCAGCTTTTATCTTGTAGTGTCCCATAACTAGATCCATAGAAGGGGACCATAACAACACCTCTTTCCAAGTAGAGTAGAAAATGACAAAGAAAAAAGACACTGATACACGAGAAACCTTGAGCTTTTGACATTCTTAGGAATGCATTGAACCTCTGCTGTGTAATTTATGGAAGTGGGCCAGTCATTGGTACTTTTATTGATTCAAATAGTTGTAGAATGTGTGGGTTCCCCAGTGATAGTTGCTATTACTGATCCATTCTTAAACTAGAATAATCTTCACTTTCGAACTGGCTGACTGACTTAACTTTCTTCCTTATGAACCCTTTTCTATAAAGAGGCCTGTAGTTGGAAAATTTTCTTGAATCAATACCCTGGACCAGTATGAAATGTTGATCCACTTGCAGCAGGTAGGCTAGGGAGATTGAAACCACTAATTGATCTTCCCCACCCCTCAGCCCTCTTTGTTTCCTGAAACTGGAAAACACACTACAAACTCATAAAAAACCTGCATAGTTATGGGTCAAAGTGCAGGTTTTCCAAAATTTATGCAAGTGGTACTCGGTTGGCAGTGGAGGACATCATACTGAATTAAATTACTTCCATGGTGAATGTTCCCTATTCAAATCACTTGGTCTGCTTTAATATTCTGGTTTTTAGAAAATGTTTATTCTTCCATGTTGGAAAAGAATTTATCCTGATCTCCTCTTTAGACCTGATCAATATTGATACATCTCAATCGCAAATTAGCTCAGGCCGGCTATATGAATCATCTGAATCCATTTCGCTCTATTCAGTTTAGACTATATTTGGAAATATTTCATGAATTGTGTCGCTCACATTACTGTAACAGGCCATTTATATTCTTAATTAGCACTGCACCAATATTGAATTTTGATCCATTTGCAGCAATTCGATGCGGAGGATCAGAACTAGTAATAGTCGAATGCTTTTAAAGATGGTGTTGCATTGTTGCTCAACTGAGGCTGCAGGTAAGATATGGACATATTGTGTCAGCACATCTGAAGTGGAAAATGTTTCCTTGCACACTCTGTTATTGGTATTGCTGGTTGATTGCTAAATTTTGTTTTCAGTGTGAGTAAACATCATATCCATCTATAATATTCAGGTGCAGAAAATCCTCCAATGAAGAATCTGTTTGTGAAATCATTTGTCACTCATTCCACAAAAAAGAAAAGGATCTGTTGGTTAACGATTAAAAAGGAAAAGGATCTGCTGGTGAAATTTGACATGTCTAGTAAGTGCTGTTACACAATAAACTGGGGACTGGCTAGTTTCATTTTTGTGTTTGAAGTGAGAACTAGAATGAGTACATTGTTCATTTATTTCATAGCAACGTATGATGAGTTATGGCGCTTTCATTTATTGCTTTGTGAAGTGTTTCTTTTGCATGCTCTGCTATGTGAACAATCATTTCCTACTTTCCGATGAGTATAGTTTTCTATTTCACCTTAACCTTTTCTTTATGCTAGTTTTTCTTCTTTTTTTTTATGACAAGGGAATCCACAGCCGCACTACCCTTTGGGTGCGCATAGATTAACCTCGCTCCAGTGTAATAGCCCACAAATACATAGGAGAGGTAAACCACACTAGGCAAGCCCCATGTGATGAGCTCAACCGAGAAAGCATGCATGGGGTCTTGAACTTGAGACCCCTTGTTCAACCAACATGGTCACCCGTTGCGGGTTCCCTTTGTGCTAGTTTATTAGACACTCTTTAACTAACTGTGACCTCCAAAAGGGTTCCAACTTATCATTTAAGTATAAAGTATAATTTTGTGGGTTGTTTCTCCTGACTAACAATGTTTCTTCCATCCAGGGTGAAGCGAAGTTGTACCTTCGGAGGCACTAGAGTATAGAGTAGAGTCGAGGTGAATATTCATGTTGATGTCTCATTACATAAACATGTATTTTCGATGGCATCACCAAATGATATGTTATCATGTGTGAATTTTGCAGTTCCTTTTTTAGCTGCGAGGCGCATAATACCTGATGGTATCTACTAATTTTCAAATGTGAGCTCGTCCTGTGTTCACGCCTGACAGACAACTTGTTGTTTTGTCTGCCCACAGATTTCTTGCAAGAGCCTGTCTTGTGTAGATTAGATATTCTTACCTGCTGTGTACAGTACAACAATCCTGAAATGTGAATAATGTTGTAAGCTTGAAAGTAAAATTTGTTATTGATTTTGTTGTTCTTACTATTATTCCAATTTTTGTGACATCCATTTTGGAACATTTCAAAACATTTGACAATTTTCTATGTTTATATGACTTCCATTACTTTCAAAAATTCAAATTCATTAAACCATTTAGATTTTAAACTTCAATATATTCTTCTGGTATCACTAATATACCGTGCTGGAGTTATGTGCATTTTAATATTAAAAGTCTGATTTAGTGGGTATAAATTAGTAAGAAAGTGGTAATTATATTTTTGGTATAACTCCTGTAACTACTAATGTCACGATTTACAACTAATTATCCACTCAAAATCAAATTTTACAACCACCAACCAATGTTCTCTAATATTATTATCTCACTATATTGATATTTAATCTATGGAAGAATTTCCTACATTTATAAATAGTGGTGTTTCTTCCTTCTTTTTGTATATCCTAAGTATGGAAAAGTGTTGTGTGTGAAACTAGTGAGGATGGCGTAGTGAATAAGATAGTTGGAGAGTAGAGGAAAAATCCAAGTATCCAATTTATTCACTACAAAAGAAAGTACGTATTATTTTTGTTTAAGGAAGGTGTTCTTAGTGGTAGAGTTTTGGACTGAGCAACTAATCTGGAGTTGTTCGAGTCATATGACATTTCAACTGTATTTTGGCATTTTCACTAATATACCGTGTAGTTAAATAAACAAGTTCAACTCTATGTTGGTTCAAATACTGTCATAAAAAGTGAAACAAGTATTATTGTTATAAATTTGAAATGAGAAACAGTCAACAAAGAAAAGGTAAAATGTGGGGGTCTGCAGTTCTACAATCCTTTATTTTACAAGCTCAAGATACAAATCCAAATGTCGTTGAAGTGCAACAAATGTTCATCTCATACCGAATCTGCTGAAGTTCAACATCTAGTATGAAGAATCCCCTTGTAGTGATGACCAGTATGAGGCGAAGCAAATTTTGAATTACACAGACAAGTTCTAAAACCCTGCCAGTAGTTTCATTTGCACAAGTTAGATTGTAACAGACTGTTCCCATAGTTACCTAAACCCATAATTTCAACAATAGTAGCATTCCAAAGTACCTATCTAGTGTCCTAGTTCTGCTGCTGAGTGTTGCAGACCTTCCTTTATGAATGGCAAGATCACAGGAGTTAACTCAGCTTGGTGTGATGTATAGCAATGATTGGCTCCTTCGATGATATGCAATTTGTGGTTTGGTATGATTTTATCGAACTCTAAAGCATCCTCCACTGGAATAATTTCATCCGCAGACCCATGAACTGTCAATACCCTGTACAAATGCAATTTCATCAGTTTGTACCCTAGATATGATCAAGTCTATGATGTATTAAAGGTGAATAGATCAATCCAGAAATATAGTGCCAACGGACAAGATGAAAGCGAGGTTAGAATGCAATGTTACAACAACCTCAATTGTGAGTTAGAACCATCACCATCAGCCTTTTCAACTCAATTCAATAAAAATACAATCCTAATATATATTATTAGTATTTTACATTATTTTTACAATGTCAATCTTCTGAAGCTTCTACAACTTAAGAAATTAGCTTTTTTATAGTTTCTTAAAGTCTATTGATTATATGACCTAAAATAGTCTATTCCAAGGAATCTGCATTCCATGTATGTAGTGAATGTCAACATTGTTTCCACTCTGCAAACTAAAGAATTTCACCTATTTGGTAACATAGATCTAAGCACCTCGACTCCAAAGCTTAAGCAGACCTGTTCTTTTCCCAGAACTTACTCCCTATACTCAAAGAAATGACTGAAAGGGAGTGAAACAAAATGGGAAAAATTGCATGAACAAAATGATATAAACTTCAGCGGTAAATCTGGTCGTACCAAGAAACAAGTAAACATAAAGGAAAGCTTCAAGCTTTTCAAGTTCAATAGTTTAACAGATCTCTTTCTTCTGTGTTTCCTAATTTCCATCCACATCTCCATCTTCCCGAAGAAAGTCATGTCTCTCATTATTTTGTTAGTTAAGAATGAGAACAATAGATGCAGATGAGCAACTAGGATTCTGAGATAACATCTTAAGATGGATAAATTGTTCATAAATCTAACAACTTGCTGAAAGCAAGACAGCTGTTCAAGTAGTATTCTCTCTTTGAAGAGGTTGTCTTGCTGTTGAGAGCAAAGTTTTTTGAGTATTTTCTTGCTAAAGTTGCATTGAATAGAATTCACTGTAAGAAAAACCATTTGTATGAGTGCTAATGAAACTGCAAACGCCACAAAGTTCAGCAGTGGCTTTATTTTCCTTTTACTTACTTTTTTTGTTTTTGCAGCGAGTCTGTTATACCTAGAGAGATGCCAATGACAAAGAGAAGGTATTGACATAATGGAAGTAAGATCAGTCCAACCTGCATCCTTTGTCAATTTGAAGGCATGCATCATGCATGTTTGTATTAAGTCGATCCATTAAACTTTCCTCGGTAACACGGTAATCAACATTTCCTACAAACAGAGAAATCATATTTTTAGCTTTCCAAAGAAAATGAAAATCCTATGCATTGTCATTGGGTAAAACCTACTCCATAGATGGAGAAGAAAATGGCTATGGACGCCTAAATAATCATTTTAACATACTGAGCAAGAGGTTCTTACTTGTCATTGGAGCCTTCGTCTGTCTAAGCTAAGTACTATAGTTCATATGCATATTGGTCTCAAGAGCCAAAGAGAGACCAAGGTAATACTAGATATAAAGCATCATGGCTGGGGGTAGATACATTCTTACTTTCCTCAGCTATTAGTCCTAAAAGTCCTAAAAGTAAACAAAACAAATAAAGAGGGATAAACCAGTAGATATTGTGCGTTTTGACTCTTATCGCTCTCGAGATGTCCAACTTGTTAAAACATTGGCATCAAGCTTACACTAGAAAACATATATCTGCAAGATGTATGATTAAAATTGATCTCCAAAAAGCTTATGACTCAGTAGAATGGATATATTTAGAACAAGTTCTGGAGGAATTATGTTTCCCTGCACAGTTCAGAAGGTGGATAATGCAATGTGTGTCCACTGTTAACTACACAGTGCTGGTGAATGGTGCCCCTACTGACTCATTTGATGCTGCCAAAGGATTGAGACAGGGAGATCCAATCTCTCCCTACCTATTTGCAATAGTCATGGAGTACTTAAGTAGGAATCTTAACAATTTGAAGACTGAGAAGAGCTTTAAATTTCACCCTCGATGTGCAAAGCTAGGAATTACTCATCTAAGTTTTGCAGATGATCTTCTTCTTTTCTCTAAAGGGGACATTGTGTCTGTGACAGCCATGCATAAAGTCTTTATGGTCTTCTCTAAAGCATCAGGATTACAGGAAAACATGAATAAAAACTCAATCTATTTTGGAGGTGTGGCGCAATCTGAGAAAGATAGAATCCTGCAGGTGTTAGGATACACTCAGGGAGATCTACCTTTTAAGTATCTAGGAATTCCTCTATCAACAAAGAAATTAACCTTGCTGCAGTGGCAACCACTGATTGAGAAAATGGTAGGGAGAATAACCTCATGGACTGCAAAGAAATTGTCCTATGCAGGGAGAGTGCAACTGGTACGAAGTGTCTTATTTGGTATTCAAGCATACTGGGCTCAACTGTTTTTACTACCTACCAAGGTGATCAAGACTATTGAAGCATATTGCAGAAGTTATGTGTGGTACTGGAGCTAGTGTAATCACCAAAAGAGCATTAGTTGCATGGGATAAAGTCTGCTGTCCTAAATCAGCTGGAGGACTTAATCTGCCTAATATTCATATATGGAACAACGCTGCTATCGCCAAACTGAATTGGGATCTAGCAAATAAGCAGGATAAGTTATGGATCAAATGGATACATGCCTACTACATCAAAAATGATATAGTTGATGTTATTTCAGGCCAACCGTGTTGGATGGTGAGGAAAATTATTGAGGCAGGGAAGCTGTTGGAACCACTGCAATTGAACAAGAAAGCTGGACAGAGCATGACTAAAACTATCTATTTACAGCTACTTGGAGATCTGGAAAGAGTGAAATGGAAAGGATTGCTTCTTCAAAATCAAGCACGGCCTAAAGCTATGTTTGCATTATGGTTGTGTTTACATGGAAGAATGATGACTGCTGATAGATTGATCAAATGGGGTCTGCCTGCAGATCCAAAATGTGTGTTGTGCATGAACTGTGATGAAGATAGAGATCATTTATTTGCTATGTGCCCATATGGAATCCAAGTATGGAATAGACTGCTATGCTGGATTGGCCAACCTGCAATCACTTCTCAAACGTGGGACCATTTCTTAGATTGGATCATCAAATGTAGTAAAGGGAAGTCAAAGTATGCTCGACTCTTCAGGATGGTATCCACAGAAATAGTCTATGCAGTCTGGACTGAAAGGAATCTGCGAGTGTTTGAAAAGAGAAGTCGTGATGGTGACTGTATTGCCCGAGAGATAGCTTATATATGCAGTGTTAGAGCCATGCCTGATCTCGCTGTTTTAATTCAAAATTTTAAGTTTTGAGTTGTGTGCATAGTTTGTAGTCAGTAGTGAACGTTTATTGAAGATAGTCAGCTCAGATGTGGCTGAACTATGGGTTTGTAATGTTTGTTATGGTGATTAATAAAATCATGTTAGTTACCAAAAAAAAAAAAAACATTGGCATGATAGAGAAATCAAGAAAATCAGGGGCAGCTGTGGCATTGCCAAATTGAGATTAGTCTTCTATCAATTTCACATATTCTCTATAATCTGAATTAACATTAACTATATAAATGACGAAACGAAGAATTCCACTCTCTACTGGCGAAAGGGGAAAATGTTTATATGCATAAGCAGGATAAAGATTTACTGTCATTACCTGCTCTATTTTTAACATCAATGAAGCTATCCTTCTTGATTATTTCCAGAAAGTCCTTCCCCAAGCGCTCTGCAATGCCTTTCTCTAGATTATAACGGCCAGACAAATTGATGACTGTGTGAACATTATGATACTTAGAAGCATATAGAAGCACAACATCCCCTCCTGCAACAGTTTATTTCTGATAATTAGTCAACATACATGAACATGAAAAAATGATAATACTTAATGTCATTTATAGAGGAAGACGAGAGCACAAAACAAAGTACATCCCTATTGACCCACAGTGATTAATATTCAGGGATAATTTCCGTTATTTGCATTGAGTTGATGAACTCTTTGAATTATCTTTTATTGAGGTAAAAATAATTTGTCAAACCTAAGTATATATATCCTTCTTGTTGGTCCTTCTTCTCTTTTGGCACATGAGTTAGGAGCAATGAATTCAACCACAAGGAGTTCTCATAGCTGATATTTCTCGTGTGTGGCCCTAGCAATGAATATACAACCTAGCCTTCCGTCTGTTCTCTTCTTCTCATCTGCCTAATCATGTTGACAGCATTACCCGATATCTGTGTTGGTGGGAGGTAGCAGATGCCTAGTAGAATAGTCATGGGCTGCTCAAGCTGGCCCCGAAACCACCATTATCAAAATGTTGTCTATCTGATATCATTCTTTAAAAATGACAACTAGCTGATATAATCTAAAAGGAACAAGGGACTTTGGCACATATTAGCACCTTGAGATGCTTCTTCTCTTTTCTCTTTTGTCTTGAACTTTGATTTTGCAGTTACACCTTAACAAGATTCCATGAAGATAGAGACGGAGCTAGGATCTTTTGTTTATGGGTTCTAGACCACCATTCTTTTTGCTTATTGAGTTCTGGATAGATAATTTGTACATACTAAATGAATTTTTAACACAAACATAAGGTTTGACCCAAAGTTAGTGGATTCTGCTGAACCCATAACTACCACTATGCCTCTTCCCTGCATGAAGGAAGAGCCACAATGTGATTATGTGGGAGAAGATTATCACATCCAGATACAACATAACCAGTGTAATCCCACAGGTGAGGTCTGGGAAGGGTAGACTATATGCAGACCTTACCCCTACCTTGACAGGTAGAGAGGCCGTTTCCGATAGACCCTCGGTTCAAGGAAAAAGGAGGGATACAACACAAGGACTTCCCAGGGGTCACCCATCCTAGTAGTACTCTCACCCAAGCACACTTAGCTTCGAAGTTCTGATGAGATCCTGGTGTGTTAGTGCTGGTATAATCGCATCCTATTGTCGCATCTAGATATCACCAAAAAATAAATAAAAACCTAAAGCAAAATAATTTCGCGGGCAAAACCTCTTTCTTCACCATAGTGTACAAAAATACTCTTAATATACTATACAACTCTTGGATGTTTTTAGCTCTTTTTGGCCTCACATGGGTCATGCCTCATAATATCAGGGATGTTGTGATAAGCTGGAGTTGCTGGAAAGTTGATAGCACCATCAAGAGAATCTGGAAGATGATACCTGCAACCATTTTTTGGAGTATCTGGAACGAAAGGAATAGAAGATGCTTTGATGGAATATCAACTACCTACCAATCTTTAAAAGCTAACTGCCTCATGTTTTTGTATAGTTGGGTTTATTTATCCCCTCTAGATTCCCCTGATTCATTTCTGAACTTTGTCAGCTCCCTGACTCTTAATTAACAATGTAAAGGAGAGTTGACCTTTTGCTACTAAGCTTTTGTAACTATTATGCATCTACTTGATGCCTGCAATAGAACTAATTACTTCATCAAAAAAAAACTCCTGGCAAAAGTTGACACACCTTTACTATGTCCAAGGACTGCTGTTACTTTGCAGTTTGCTCCATTGAAATATTCAACCACAGAATGCAAGTCATCCGCCTCTCTACAGTAGTTACCATACTGAAATGAACCTTCACTTTCACTGGAAAGCAGTTGATAATGTACAACCAAGAATTGTGAAAGAACTAATGTTAGTCACTGCATACAGAAATTTGGGACAATAAATTTCTGAAAGCTAAGATGATGAGAGCGGAAGTAAATCAAAGAGAATTATGGAATAGAAATGATGTAAGATTTTGCTTTTTGACCCATTGCATTGACCTCAAGTTAGGTCTGTATTCCGCTGTACTTTACTACCTTTACAAGAAAATCAAGAAAGAAAAGCATTAGAATGTAGACACTTTAGAGTTATGACCAACCCTGCTCACATTGTTGGAATAATGATTTATTCCCTAAGGGAAAAAGGTCGGCTCACAACTATTATTTATTTGGAAGTTAAAAGCCTCTATAGTTTTAGGCAGTTGCAGTAAATACTATGAACCAATGATAAGGGAGAAATAGAAGCCATAGATTAAATAGAGACTGAATAGTAGCTCCTATAACTAGATATAATTGCACATTTTTCTCATAAAAAGAAATGAATAAGAAGAAGATACTGTTCACACCAATAACAGAGTCTACCTAACGAGCATTCACAACAGTAAATGAAAAAGCTCCCTCTTTATCTAGAGATTGCCTGAATAATATAGATGGTCCTTTTAATACCAAGAGCTTACCCATTTCCAGGGAAATCAAAGCGAAATACACTGATTCCTTCTTTCTCCAGGGCAACAGCAAGGTTCACTATAGTGTTGAAGTCCTAGCAACAGAAACAGAATGAAAATTTAGATGCTTCATCAACAACTCTCCTACCATCAAACCGACTGCACATATACTGATAAAAGCACAGAGATAAAAATCATCTATTGTGGAACTTAACCAAAAAATTTAACTTATTAAATTATGCAAGAAAGTCAGCGAGCCAGTAATTGCTTCAATCGTGAACTTAAGGTACTTTCCTCGATATGTATCCATCTATAATAGATCTAGACTGATCTTATAGTACATTTAACTTCAATTTTATCCGGTCTCGAAAAGTCAAAAAAGATAATTTGCTCAATGAAATTGTTCAGAGTTCAATTTTAACTGAAGCCAAATCAAAGTTGTAACTTCACTATAGTTATCTAGAGCATCAATTGCAAATATTGTTTGAGAAAGATAATGTTGTATTCCTCAGCATTAAGGATATGCTGGAGACCTCCAAAACTTGGTTCCCAACATGAGAAAAAACAAAAAGGCTAATAGATTACGAAGTGCCTATAAAATCTCAAATTTGTGCAGCTTTTTCTGTCCCTTCTTTATACCAAAAATAAAAAGTAGTTAAACAGTTCCATTTGACTTTCTCTATTGAATTAGCCTTGTTTTCAAAGCATCTGCTATTTCTTTCTTTCTAGCTAGACTACCAAATGCATGATGGTATTATACTTCACCACTTTTTCTTAGATCCCCCTCCCCCCTACTGATCCAACAACAAAGTAGATTTGTTGCATGCTAAAGGCATAATCCATTTTGTTGTGTGTTAGTCCCAGAAAAAGGTTCCACAATTGTGTTGTCTCTCTGCAATGGAGGAATAGGTGGTTGTTGTTGTTTTCTTCAGCCTCAGCCCCAGCCTCATTACAGAGAGAGCACCAAGAGGCAACATGAAACCTCTCCTTTTCAATTTCTCTGGCAACCAACCAAGAGAAACACTTTATTTTGGTTGGCATCTTGTTCCTTCAAATCTGCTTCCAGGGACCAAGCTTACAACCTGGATGCTCCTTCACCTATTTAATATTAGCTTGTTAACAGAAAGGCTTCCATCTCTAGAGTGTTTCCATCCGATAGAATCTTTTTCCGTTGATAACCCATTCAGAACTTGTAATAGCTCAACCACTCTCACAGTCTCCCAGCCATTTAAATGCATTCTGAACTATTCCATCCATGGACCATGAGTAGACCATAACTCAGCCACTGTTTCCTCCGGATTGGTGCACAAGGAAAATAGGACTGGAAATAAGACTATCAGTGTCTCATTTCCATTCCAATTCTCCTTCCATAATAAGATTTAGTCCCATTTCCCACCTTGTAGATTATGTTTCTACTTAGATCAGGCCACAAGTTCCTTATTGTTCTCCAAGTTGACATCCCATAAGTGCTATTTACAGAGTTGGAGACCCAATTTCAATTCAACCCATACTTGTTGACTAACACCTCCCTCCATGAGGCTTGTTCCTCAGTGTTGAACCTCCATAGCCATTTTGACAAGAGGCATTTGTTCTGCAACCCCAAGTTTCTGATTCCAAGTCCACTAGCTTGTTTATGTAACTGTGCAGTCTGCCATTTGGCTAAATGCAAACCCTTCCCTTCTTTATTCCCTAACCACAAGAAATATCTTGTCGGTTTGTCAAGTCTTTCTTCCACTTTGGCAGGTATAGGGAATAAAGACCTAACATAAGTTGGAAGAGAGTCCAACACTGAGTTTATCAAAGTGACTCTCCCTCCTAGAGAGATATCTAGGATATACTGAGCTTTCCAGTTGGCCAATTTTTTCTGTCTTTTCAATTATGTCATCCCAAATTTCTAATTCCTTATGTTTATGTCCCAATGGCATTCCCAAGTAAGTTGTGGATTGTTCTATTCTACACCCCAATATCCTTGCCAAAGTTGAGGGACTTCTTTAATTGGAAAGATGTTGTTTTCCTCCAATTTACTCCAGAAACCGCTTCAAAACCACCTAAGTCATTCTTATAAAGTCAACCTGATCAGTCCTGGCTTCACATAAAATAATTGTTTCATCTGCATAGCGCAGATGACAAATCTGCATTTCCTCTCCGAAAGAGTTGCTGACCTTGAAGCCTTTTAGTCAATTGTTTTGGATAGCTACTCTCATCATACTATTATAGCCTCCATGGCTAGGATAAAGAGGAAAGGAGAGAGTAGGTCTCTGATAGAAACTAAGATGAAACAAGATGAGAATGAAACTTTATTGGTTAAATAAAGTGCAAGAATCTTAAACACTGCATTAACCAATAACTATGCCCGTATGGAGTGGACAAATCTCCAGATACAAAGATAATGATAATACTTTTCTTCTTCCTATCGAATTCTCCTAGATACGTATATATTTATACTTAACATAAAGATAACTCCTAACACATAGAAACAATTACTGTTGTAGATAACTGCAGATAATAACTGCTGCTTATAACTACTATAGATAACTACTGCTTATATATTTTCTCCTATTTAAAACAAAGAAACTAAGATAAAGGAGTAGTTGTATCAGTGCATCCCCTCTAAAAAGTTGTCTTGTCCTCAAGGCGAAAAGAAAGAAACTGAACTGCAATGAGATCATAGTTCTCCCAACTAGCTTCTTCAAGGGTACAGTCAACCCATTGAACTAGCAGTTCCAAAGAAGAAGCACCATCTTCTTTGTCCCATTGATGTAATAAAACTTTTTAGGTTCCACCATGAATTCCAATTCATCCACATTAAAAGATTGGAGGGAAGCCGTGGCGGAATTTGCCGATCTCATTCCTTGCAGTTTGTAACGTTTCCCTTTCCAATTGAAAATTATGAACATATCCTTCCAATTAGCTTGAATAGTATTGAGAGAAGCTAACCATTTGACACCAAAAACCAAATCAGTCCCTCCAAGTGCAAAAGGATAATAATCCTGAGTGATGATAAAACTTGGCAATGGAATTTGAAGATTCCGACAAACTTTATTGCAGCGAATGATGTCCCCATTCCCTATTTGCACGCCAAATGTTGGAACTATCTCTACTAGGAGCTTATGCTTCTCTACAATGGATTCAACCACTAAATTATGTGTGGAACCACAATCCACAAGTATTAAAACCTTTCTATGGTTGATTTCACCCTGAAGCTTCATTGTAGAACCAACTTACTATCCCAAAATAGCATGGAATGAAATTTCAGCAATGTCAGATTCTCGAGAGTCGCCAGTGATTGTTACATTAACCCCGTCAACATCTTCCAATTGATTAAGCTCCATGAGAGAGTTCCGCAACTTTACATCTATGACCGGGTGCAAATTTCTCATGGCAACGATAACGAAGTCCTTGTGCAATTAGATTTCTCATCTTGGTATCCCATGTTTGCATTTGAAGAGGTTGGGAAGTGGATGGATTGGGAGAAGCATTGTAGCATGGATTTTGAAATGAAGAGTTAATATTGTTTTGGGTGTTTATAGAAGAGTGCAATGGGTTTTATATACTTTTTGACAATACTCTTGTATACAATCTTTTTGTTGAATGCTACAAAGATGCTCGTCGGGATTTTGAAACTCCGCAGGACCATAAATTTCCTCCAATGCTTTTACAAGCTCTTCCCAATAAAGCAAAGTTCGCTCACAATTTCTCCAAGAGAAGAGATCAAGAGCATCGCCTTCTGGATACATTGATGTGATGTCAACTTTGTGTTCCCTACAGTTTGATAGTAGCAGAAATATTTTTCTACCTTCAAAATTCATCCTCTAGGATCACCTCCTTCAAATCTAGGAAATTTCATCTTTGTGTGTGGCCTCCGGAAAGGATTTTTTGACCACGCTGGGCTATCAGTATCTTCTTCCTCTTCTTGCGAAGCAGATTTTCCTCCATTACGCGTCCGGTGACTGGTTTCCCCTTCTTGGACCCAACCATTCTAAGCTTTCAATATAGCAACTTCTGCTGCCAACAAATCAATAGTATTTGAATAGACAATTGTTGGCAAGAGATTCAACGTTGGGAGCGTTTTCTTGAGAAGTAGAAGATCCCGTATTGACCATATTGGATCGTTCTGCTCTGATACCAAACCGATAGAGACTAAGATAAAACAAGATGAGAATGAAACTTTACTGGTTAAATAAAGTGCAAGAATCTTAAACACTGCATTAACCAATAACTATGTCCATATGGAGTGGACAAATCTCCAGATACAAAGATAATGATAATACTTTTCTTCTTCATATTGAAATTCTCCTAGATACATATATTTATACTTAACATAAAGATAACTCCTAACACATAGAAACAATTAATGTTGTAGATAACTGCCGGTAGTAACTGTTGCTTATAACTACTATAGATAACTACTACTTATATATTTTATCCTATTTGAAACAAAGAAACTAAGATAAAGGAGTAGTTGTATCAGTCTCCCTGCCTTAGACCCCTTTCTGATGGGGAAAATCCAGCAGGTTCTCCATTCACTAAAATGGAGAACCGAACAGTTTTTATACAATAGTCAATCCGCTTCAACCATTTCTCCCCAAAACCTCATAAAATTTGTTTTTGACAGAGTGGAAGGTGAATCTGCAAGTACTTGCATTATATTGACACAAATAATCTCAAATTTGTACTTGTATTACTAGATGCTGCTCATATTTGTACTTGTATGACCTGATGCTGTTCAATCTTCATGAGGTTGAGCACTAGCCAAATTCTGGTGCTCGAGTGGTCTAACCCAATGTGCCTTGCCAAGGGCATTGGTCAACTAGATCTATTTTACTCAAAAAGAACCAGTAAATCTTGATATCAATAAACCCCATTCAGGATCAAGTCAACATGGAAAATCACCAGTCAACTAAAAATCAACAGGAACTTTGTTAACAGAGATGTGAAGCAGCAACGGATGTTGAAAACAATACAGACTATACACCGAGTTTAGAAGGCTGTGATTGGTCCAAAGGGCGGGTCACAGACGGATTTCTCGGTTATCAAAAAAAAAAAAACAATACAGACTAAAAATCTCATCTAATAGAATCTAAGTAAAGCCTACTACTTGGGAATCTGACATCATTCTTAGCCCTCACACTTCTGCATCAAAATGTAACTAAGCAAATAAAGCTGTTTTAGTTTGATTCCTCAACCCATCCACCAAATATATTCATTCTTCAGTTATCTTTTTGAGCAAGACTTTTTTTTTGAGTAAGAATTCATTCTTCAATTAATTGTTTTTGATAATCGTCGTGTCCGGGCCTGCTTGCAGGTACCTCAACTAATTCCATGGGATACCTACCACCTACCACCAGCAACATGTACTATGTAACTCTTCAATTAATTAATAACTGACATCATCTGTTTTTATTCACTTATTTTGTTTGGATGATTTCAGACTCACACTATTGTTGCTCAAGAGCATTGGTGAAAATAAAGTCAGATATGTCACAGTGGTGGGACACTGCAGCACTACATACTTACAGCCGAGGCAACTTACTTTCTGAAACTTATGTCAGCGCCATTGAACTAGATGACATTAGTAGAAAATTCAAGGAAGCAATAGAACAGCTAATGAAGCACAAGAACCATAGTAAAAGGGGAATAGTTCAGACCTTTGACGATCTAAATCCATGACACAAGACCACGATCTCCATAGATCCAGTATCATGCAACACTCCAGCTAGTTTCTCATTGTGTTGGTTCAGCACTGTAATTTTCTTCTGCACAGCTGCTGGACATCAGGACACGTGCATAGGTAAGTAGACAGAAGAATGTCACAGAATATGTTATTAGTTGTCAAGGGATCAGCATTGCCTCTTTCTCCGGTATAACCAGATTGATGATTTTATTGTAGCATTTTTAATTGGTATCAGGCTTCCATATTGAATATGAAGAAGACCCTCAGACTTTCACCAAAAGTTGTCAAAAATCCCGGAATTATGTTTAGTGACTTAATCGGGTTGACTCTCTTTTTATTCATTCCAAGCATTATTTATGGACTAATCCAGCATAGATCCCAGAATGACTCCTGGAAACAGAGTGTGCTATATTTAACAAAGTTGCTGCAGTTAAATTGGCACTAGCTACACAACTTTTAGGCACTATGATCGGAAGTGAGTGTAATAGCTTGGGGAGCAGTACTGGTTACACGACTGAAGCACTATGGCAGAGAAAGTCTAGAGTGATTAACTACTGATTTCGGTGCTGAACTGAGTTAGTTCACAACACTGTAAGCTAGAAGTGTGCATAATGAAAACACTTTTCTCAAAATTCTTAAACAATGTAGATCACAATGGCCAAAGCAAATGTTGGTTACGCCAGCAGAATTGGGAGTCCTCATCCATACTGAAAACAAAACAGAATTGACCTCTTCTCTTTCGTGATGTTTTTGAGATTGGTGTAAACAATACAACTTCATAAAGCCATTTTGTGTATTATCACAGTAAAGCACTTGTCTTTACATTGTAATTCTGCTAAAAATTGTCACCTGGGTTTTGTGTCATGCTGAAAGCTACTTGAAGTGTGATGCTGCACCTGCGTGAGGGATTAATGCGAACCTGTGGAAGAGGAAATTCTGAGATAAAAAGTGGGTTTTTGGGAAGAACAAAATTTGGGGATACCACATTGACATTGTAGGCGAAAATTCCCATGGCTGAACCAACACAATGAGCAGATGTTGACAAAGCAAATGATTGGTTCTTACCTGGGTCTGGACAATATTGATTGTTCCTTGCTACTGCACTCACCCAATCCAGACAAAGAACACGAGCTCCAGATGGAGGTCAAAAATTATACAAGAGGTTTACTTTTTGACACTACTGTGTTTGGTAAAATATTGATTTTTTATTTATTTTGTAATTTGATTGGTAGTAGAAAATATTTTTTTTGTATTTGATTGATGAATTAAAAGTATTTTCTGAAAACATATCTTTTATTTTTTTCTAGAGTGTAGAAAATAATTTTTAGAAAAATAATTTCTAACGTGATAACCAACCCCGATAATTAGGGTTGTTCATGGTTAGAGTTAAAAAATCAAATCGAACTGCAATCCGAACCAAACCGATGAAAAAATTGATATTTGGTTAGATTTGATTTTAAATTTTGAAAACGGATACTATTTTGGTTTGATTTTGATTTCACTAAAAAAAACAACTCCAAAAATAACCAAATCGAACCGATAAATTAGATATATAAATTTTATAATTATTTATATACCTGTCACAACCATATCGCGGAACTAATATAAATAGGCATGTTCACACAAATAATGATGAGATAATCATTTTTATATCAATGCATAATTCACACTAACACCATTGTGATACAATATCCACAATGAATCAATAGACCTTTCAAGTCATCTCAACACATCACACATCAATATATAGGGTGTGTTTGGTATGAAGGAAAACATTTTTCGTAAAATATTTTTCAATTTTCTCATGTTTGGTTGGGTTAAAGGTTTTGGAAAATATTTTTCAAATCAACTTATTTTCCTTAAATTTAAGGAAAATGACTTTCCTTCCAAAATTAAGGAAAACATTTTCCAAAACTATCCTCTAACTTCAAATTATAATTTTATTTGTTGAAAAAATAAATTTATAGCTTATTATTAAAAAATATTTTCAACTTCAATTTTTATTTTTTTTCACCCACCCTCACCCCTTATCCCTCCTCCTACCCCCCCACCCCGCAACCCCCC